ATACTTTTAATTCAATTAAATTGTAAACCTAAACTTTTATGGATTTATTAAACCTCTTTTAATTATACATCTTAATTAATTAATAAAACCAAAAGGGTGTGAATTGAAGTTTTCAAAACATTACTAGGGTTTTAGAATTTAACATTCCTAATTAAACTTTTAATCAACTTTTAAATTCCAAAACTTGAGTGCAAGTTTTGAACCATTTGAAAAACATTAGGGTTTAGAATTTAAATATACATCAAAACTAAACTTTTAATCAAAATTTAAATTCCAAAACTTGAGGGCAAGTTTTGAAACATTTCAAAACATTAGGGTTTCAACTATTTAAATTTCAAAACAACAAAACTTTTGGGTTCAAATTTAAACTATAAAACCTAAAGGGGAAAATATGAAACTTTTCATAACAACAAGGATCATATAACAAATAATCTAAATTAACATTTAATCATATAATTATCCATATTTGATTTATTTAATGATTTCTTGCAAAACAATTTACCAATTTAATCAAAATAATTAATCAATTATCACATAAGGAAACAAATATTTTATTAATTGATAAATATCTTCAATTAGATCAAGAATATAGTCAAATATATCATAAAATCGGATTTATATTGATCTAATATGATAAGGCAACTATCCTTAAGCAAAAACAGCAAGAAATCCCGAAGTTTGCTCCATCTGACGAGTTGACTCGTCGAGTCAAGCATGGACTCGTCGAGTCAGCATGGACTCGGCGAGTTCAGCTATGGACTCGGCGAGTCCAGCCCCCAGAAACACAAAAAACGAATTTTTCAAACATATAATGCATCAATACAATAGAAACCAATCTAGGCTCTGATACCACTGATGGGTTTTGGTCATAAGGACATCCTATGTGCTCATACAAACCCTAATGCTTGGATCTAGGTTTCTCTATTGTACATGCAAGTTATCCAAGACTATAAACCTTAATTCTAGCATATAAGTAATCATATTAACATGAGAATAGGTTTAAGATCATACCTTGATTGTTATGTAGCAATAACAATCCCAAATCTCCTTGTATTGACTTTAGAAAGCTTAGAGTCACAAATGTCACTCCTCTAATGGTTCACAAACACCAAGAGCAAGAGGATGAAGAGAAGAGGTAAAGGAGGCTGCCCAAAACCTGTGGAAACCCTAGAAGAAAGCTTAGCCACGTTTTTGGGTCATAAGGGATGTATATATAGTTAGGCTATTAGGGTTATCTAACAAGGAAACCCTAATTTGGATGCTTAAGCCCTAAGCAACCCATGGACTCCTTTCCTTAAGGCCTTGGGCGATTTCCCCATGGGTTTCCCCATAGAATTCGTCCACTCCTTAATTTAAGACAATCCATAGCCCAAATTGCAATTATCTTATAATTACAATTCCAGTCCCTTAAGTTTAATTAATCTCTTTTAGTCACAAAACTAATTACTAATTAATTCTTGACTAATATTAATTAAACAATATGATTTCTCCTTTAATATATTATTCTCATAATACATTAATAAATCATATTTAATCCTTTCTCTCCACAATTCATCCTATCAAGTTGCTTTGGTGAAGGCAACCCAAAAGGACCATGCACCATCGGGTCAAGTACATACCAAAATAGTTATGGACTTAGACACTAATCCAACAGTTTAGGCTATCATCCACCTGAATATCCTCTAAAGGCTCAACTGCGGAGTCATCCACTAGACACTTCTGCAGCTGAGAGACATTTAAAGTGTTGTGGATCTTGCTGAGCTCTGCTGGAATATCCAAACGATAAGCAACCCGGTCGACTCGAGCCAAAACCCTGAACGGACTGATGTACCTGGGGCCCAGCTTGCCCCGCTTCCTGAACCGGATGACACCTTTCTAAGGTGACACTTTCAGGAGAACCATGTCGCCCACCTGAAACTCCAAGTCTGAGTTGCGCTTGTCAGTATAGCTTTTCTGCCGACTCTGAGTAGTCTGGAGCCTGCTCCGGACCTGCTGGATCTTCTCCATGGTCTTGAGTACCACCTCACTACTCCCCATGACTATCTAACCAACCTCTCCCCAACAAATTGGGGGCATACACTTCCTCCCGTAAAGAATCTCGAAGGGAGGTCGATCTATGCTAGCGTGGTAACTGTTATTATACGAAAATCCCGCTTACGGAAGATACGTATCCTAATTGCCTCCAAAATCTAATACATAAGCATGCAACATGTCCTATAGAGTCTGAATCATCCTCTCACTCTGCCCATCCGTCTGAGGGTGGAAAGCAGTACTGAAGTGAAGACGAGTACCCATCTCATCATGAAACCGCTTCCAAAATATGGAAATGAAATGAACATCTCGGTTTGACACAACCGAAACTGACACTCCATGTAGTGCCACCACCTCACGTACATAGATCTCGACTAGCTTCTCGGCAGATATACTCTCCTGGATTCGGATGTAATCCACATTGACCTTCTCTGGGTGATAAAAGATCTCATAGTCATAATCCTTCACCACATCTAACCACCGCCGCTGCCGCATGTTCAGATTCGGCTGATCCATCAGGTACCTCAAGCTCTTATGGTCCATGTAAATGGTACAACGAACCCCATAAAGGTAGTGTCGTCAAACCTTGAGGGCGAAAATCACAACCCCTAGCTCTAAATCATGCGTTGGGTAGTTCGCATCGTGAGGCTTCAACTGCATCGAAGTGTATGCTATCATGTGACCCCGCTGCATCAGCATTGCACCCATACCTGTGATCGAAGTGTCACAGTAAAGCACGAAATCATTGAAACCCTCCAGCAAAGTCAAGATCGGTGCCTCGCACAATCACTGTCCGAGAGTCTCAAAAGTTGACTGCTGCTCAGGCCTCCAGCGGAATGTCACCAACTTCTTGGTCATTCAGATAAAGGGAACATCAATATTGGAGAAATCCTAGATGAATCTTCGATAATAACCTGCCAGACCAAGAAAACTATGAATCTCAGATGAAGACCTCGGAACCTCCCACTTCATCATGACCTCTATCTTGGACGGATTGACTAGAATACCCTTATGGTTGACAAGGTGCCCCAGGGAATTGCAGCTCGCACAACCGGAACTCACACTTGAAGAACTTTGCGAAAAGTCACTCCCTCCTCAGTGTCTCCAGCACCTCCCTTGGGTGCTCCTCATCTGCTCCCGAGTCTTGGAATAAACCAAGATGTCATCGATAAAACTATCACAGACCAATCCAACATCGGTCTACACACGCGGTTCATGAGGTCCATGAACGCGACAAGTGCATTGATGAGCCCAAACGGCATAATCACAAACTCATAGTGACCATAGCCAGTCCGAAAGGCTGTCTTTTGCACATCGTCGTCCCTGACTTGCATCTGGTGATAACCTGATCTCAGATCAATCTTGTAGAACCAAGATGCACCCTGAAGCTGGTCAAATAAGTCATCAATCCTCGGGAGGGGATAACAGTTCCTCGACGTTACCTTATTCAGCTCTCGGTAATCTATATATATCCGATGTAACCTGTCCTTCTTCACAAATAGGATCGGGGCTCCCCATGGCGAACTGCTTGCCCTGATAAATCCCTTGTTTAACAGCTCCTGTAGCTGTGTAGAGAACTTCCACATCTCGGGAGGAGCCAACCAATATGGTGCCTTGGCTATCGGAGCCGCAGTAGGAACTAGGTCATTCCTGAACTCTATCTGCCTCTCTAGAGGTATCCCAGGCAAATCCTCCGGGAATATGTCTGGGTACTCCCGTACTATCGGTACATCATCCACTGTTGCCTTACCCTTATCCCGGGTATCCATGACATAGGCGACATAACTTGCACAACCATGCTGTAGGTAGCATCTCGCCCTCATTGCTGAACACAAAGTCGGTCCGCACTGCAGCCTCTCGCTCTGAATCACCAAACGTCCCCCACTTGGGGTCCGAACTCGTACCAGCTGCTCCTCGCAGTCAATCACTACCCCATTGAGGCTCAACCAATGCATTCCCACAATAACCTTATTCCCTCGCATGGGAATAGGGACAAATCTACAGAAAACTGCTCATCGAACAATTGCGGTGTCACTCCAAGTCATCGCATCAAGAGCTGCATCATCTCCAATGGCATGTCCAACTTCCTCCCACCAACCACATGCCATGTCCTTCATAAGGAAGGAAGGGAGTTGGACCTTATCCCCCTCGGGACAACGACTGGTGCGAAAGGCGTTGGCGACATCAGCTAACCACCTGCTTTGTAGTTTTTCATATATTGTCTAGCAATCGCTTGTTTATATAGATTACATTAATAAATTCGTGCATGTCCCAAAAATAATAATACATCCAACACTTGGCAAGGTTTCAAGACCCGACAAAAACTTGCAAAAACCGAAACCGTAACCGAAATATTTCTCAAAATACATTGCTATTTCTCGAGGACTGGTTCCGACATCGAAGACCCGACAAAAACTGGAACCGGAACCAGAACCAGAATTGACGGTCCGATTCGGTTCTTAAATTCGGCCAACTTTGGTTCCCGGGTCGCGTCCGGTTCGGGCCGGTTCTAGCCGGGTCGGTTCTTAAAACTTCATGAAACTCAAATCTACATAATTGTTTTGTGAAAGATATATGGATCTTAGTAGGTAAAGCCAAGTATTCTTTTAAACACCATTATATATATCAAATTTCTAAAAAAAAAAAAAAAAAACCAATTTCAGCTTGACTTGAAACACAAATAAAACCAAAATCTGTAACGAATAAATGAAACAATGTAAAACATTGAAACACAACTTTGCTTTTGAAACACCATTAAACTACATCATTGAACACTTTCTCATCCATTGGTTTGGGAAATCGAATCCTATAGCGGCTTTGAGATATCAAAAACCTGTCTTTGTTCCAGAATCTTGAAAAGCGGTGGTGTGGGGTTCGTTGTGATGCAGAGATGGAGACAGAAGAGTTGAGAATCCGCTATTAATGTTGTATTCCCTAAAACGTGAGCCCCTCACCATTTATGTAGCATATCAGACTTCCAACTTAGGGTCATGGATTCCAACTTCATGAAGGTTGGATTCCGGGACCTTCTTTGAGACCAAAGAGTTAAAACTAAAACCCAGGAAACAGCAAGGGCCATTTTATAAAGATTTGTCTAAAATAAATAAGTAGTTAAAGAAACAAACAAACATTAACAAGAGAAAATTAAGCAATCCCAAACATAGCTTTCTTGCAAATCAACAAATTGCGTTCTCATTTAGCAATTGAATGTCATTTACATGATTAATTTCCAAGAAACTGTAATTACATTTGTTTCTCAGCATCCATGCGCTCAATAATGCGACGCGCCTCCTCCTCTGTGGCTGGAACGACACTACGAATCCTACCATTTCTCATGGCATCTGAAGAAGTTGTAAATGTGAAGTAGAACTTGTTGGATACCTTTACCAAATTCAAAATTCAAACAATCATCAATCATTTACAATTTTACAAAGTTTTTGAAACTTACAAGCATTCATATAGATTGATAATGTGCATATTTACACATTTGGACCTTACCTCAGCAGATCTAAACTCGGGCCTTGTCACATGAGCAACAACTTCCACATTAATCAACGGTTTGTCCGGATTCTCAAGTTCTGTGAACAAAATACATGACTTCAACCGCAAAAAATTTCCAACGTCCACCTGGCATCAACAAATCACATATTACATAAGTTCTATAAGCTTTTACTAAATGACCATTTTACCCATACAGTATAACAAACAATTTTAAGGTTACGAGGATTAAAGAAAAAGGTCAAATAGGCGAAGAGTTGGTGTTTGAATACATTGATAAAGTATAAAAGAAATAACCATGTCTGAATGAGCTATATGTATATGAATGAGAGTAAATGACGATTTTACCCTTATGTAACACTTACAGGTTTCAAGAAATCAACATGATCAACCTCAAGAAAGAGTGGTGCACTTCCAGCAAAAGTATAAGCGGTTGCAAAAGCAAGCTCAAAAGCTCTTCGCATCAAAAACCCTCCAAAAATTCTTCCATGGGTGTTCCTTTGTTGTGGCTGACATACCAATGAGTTTTGTAGACACGTGTCCTTTATAAGAATACTATCTCTATCAGCCAAAGCTGGCATGTCAATGAACACACGTCCTTCAGCCAACAATGCATTCAGCCTCTCTGCTTCCTTTTCGTTTTCAATCTCCTTCTTCTTTTCTTGTCTTCTCTTTTTCCTTAATTTGTTCCTCTCTTCTGCTTCTTTCCATAGGGATTTCTCCCTTTCAGTCTCGGGTGTGATTTGATTGATTATTGCTGATTTTCCGGTTTTGGAATCACGCGCCACAAAAGTGAAGTTGGCGACTAAAGCTTGTGAGTCTAGAGGATCGGATGTTTCTTCAGTGGGTTGAAGGACTTCTAACTGAATCTCCATGGAAGAACGACCAACCCAAGTAACAGCTCCAACTATTTTCAAATCAATGTCAACAAGAATCGGCTTTTTGATAACCATTTTGTCCACAGAAGCAGTCACTAGCAACAAGGAATCCGCCATGCCTGCGTTATTGAAGCAGTGCTGTTTGTTTCACAGATCCAACAGAAACCACAACTGTTATAATCAAGATGTTCTCTCATGAAAGCATATAATCTGACAAAAGAGAAGGTAAAGGGGCGTACTTTGAAGGAGATTGTACCCGCGAGAGCATCAAGGTCTTCAAGCAATTTCCCCGCACGAATTCCGTTCCATGGATTCCTGTACTGTTCTCTGAGAATATAATCGGAAGAGAAAGGGTAAAGAATGGTAGTCCGGCTGTGCGATGGAGTTTTTTCAGTAATGGAGTCGACATCCGAAGAAGGGGTGTCGAAAATGGATCTCGCTTGCCAAAGAGCATTTGTGGCCGGTGAATGATACATACCAGGCCACATACAGACAGGCTTGCGCAAGGAAGATCCGGCGTCAATGGCGGACACATCGTCATCTTGAAGACGTTGAGAATTAGGGCAAGATACAGTGGATGCAACAGAATTGGGATCGATTTCGCTGATCGAAGGTGGGTCTGGTGGCCCCGAAGAGGAATATGACCTGAAACTACAAAACAAACGATTGAATATTTGGGGATTTTTCGACGAAAGATTCAAGCTTTTGTGTGGGTTACGACATCGATAATCGTAATTGTGATTCAAAGGGAGAAAACGAGTGGTGTACAGTGATGGGTATCTGAGTTTTTTCGTTAATGTTGTAACAGCAACACCATAACCGAATCTTAGTGCTCTCATTTCGTTTGATTTTCTTATTGAAAGAGGAATTATACCTACAGAAACAAGATAACGTTATACATAATAAGCATCAAATATGCAACCACAATGGATTTTAACCGATCCCCCTACTTACTAGGTCAGGTCTGCTACACTTTTTTCTTTCTTTCATGGGAGGCCCCGGAAGTGATGGTGAATGTTCCATGTGTTTGAAATTGAAATCAATTTGTCAAGAAACTTCTGCTAATATAATGGTAGTCATAAAGTATGAGACAGACATAGATGATCGATCAATCAAATGAAACCTTCGTTACCCCCTTGCCAAAAATAGGTAAAAGCAAGAAATTATGTTTCACATTTTGATGAAGATAAATTGATCGAGTTCTTTATGAAACGATCGAAAATCACCCTTTTCAGTTTTCAAGTTTCGTAACGGATGAGAATGTTAGATGAAGGAAGAGACTGTGGGAGTGGTGGCAACGAAGCCGCCGTAAACTCACCACCAACCAAATAAATTGAAATTGTTTTATATAAATCTAAAATGTCTACCACTCCATAATATATATGTTTTTATTTTTTTTATGATTAAATTAAATAAAAAACATAATTTAAAACATGTAAAATATTTTATATGAATTAGAACCATATTATATTAAATTACAAAACATAGAAAATTAAAACAAAGTTTTTTTAAAAAAAAAAACATAAAAAGCTAAATCTAAATTACTAAAAAAACTTAAAAAAACATAGAAAATTAAACCTAAATTACTAAAAAAAAATATAGAATTTAGTTGCAATAGTTCTTGAGAATTTCTTTTTGAATTTTTAAAAATACGCTTAAATTTTCCGGGTTGAGATTCGGTTGCACACTGTATTTAAAATTTGAAGATCGATGAGTGCTGTTTTTCACCGACGAGTTTCCTCCGTTAATTCAATTTTTTTCTTCTAAAAAACTTAGAATTTTGTCTATTTTGTAGTGTAAAATGTTAGTAAAATAATGAGTATTAATAGTGACAGTTGATAAGTTTTAAATTGATTTTTTTTTTAATTTGCTAATGGTAGGATTTTTGTGGGTTAAATGGAACGTTGCCAAACTCATCTCCAATTGGTCGTCTCACCCCGTCTTCAGACTCACGACACAACCAAAGCACCGGCCCTGGGGCGTTGTTCACGCGCCTTTCGCTATGCCATGTAGGATTTTCACGCGTGGAAAACCTTCAACTTCGGTTAACCTAATAGTGACCGACCTATGGAGATATATCAGTAATGTTCTAAATAATGTGAGACGTGACTTGACTGTAAGGTTAAAGTTAAGTTATGATGAGATTTGGCTAGTCATGACGTTTTTCAAAACGCGACTAATTTATATATATTAATAAAAACATATAATTATTGAATTTTATCAAATATATCAAGTTTATAGAAGTGCTATATTAATATCTAATATAAAAAAGTTAATAAAAACTTAATTATTTTAGGCCCTATCAAATAAAAAAAAACAAAAACAAAAGCCAAAAAACCCGAATTTGAAAAAAAATCGCGCCATAGCACGATAATGCATGTTTTGATACGTTATTTGGACGCCACATTTAACAAACTCGCCTTAAACGTTTTCATAACAACTATACCACCACACACCTATCCATGTCGCACCGTGAGACACACTTTTTAGAACCATGCATATAGGGATGCACAAAGACTACACCTTAAAGTGGTCTAATCTTTCGAATATAAAAAGAAACTAAGGGGGTGTTTGCGAGTGTTTTTTAAAATGATTTATTAATTTATTAGTTTTAAAAAAAAATCAATAAGTTAGAAAGATGTTTGGTAAACATTAATTTTTCAGTGAAAAAAATAACTTTTTCAAACAAACCTAAATTTCAATAATGAGTTTCAAAAGCAATCCCAAACACGCCTAAATTTCAATTTGTTCTATTTGGTTTACAAAAAGTCTAACTTTGAGAATAACTAATAGAAAAATCATATCGAAACATTGTGACAATCCGAAATTTCTCCCGTTATTTTAACCCACTTCTGTTAATAAAATTTAATTTTATTAAATTTTCCGCCAACTTCTTGAGTTAAATAAATTAACTAAAGTGATAGTTATAATTCTATGGGGGTCAGAAAACCAAAAATCGTGTGAAAAACCTTCAATTCCTTGAAAATCAACGAGTTCATGGCCAAGACGAATTTACGGCTGTAAACCCGTTTACGGTCGGTGCCAGGTGGACCCTACCACCGACCATACTCCCTAGCCTATAAATACAAGACCCCTACCCTCATTTGAACCTTCTTAGCCAGAAACACCCCCCCCCCCCCTCTTCTCTCTCTAAACCGCTTGACTGTAAACACCAAAAGCCCTCCTTTCACCCGAAAAACGCTGGAAATCATCATTTGGGGTCATTTGGGAACATCTGGAACACTTTTTCGTCGAAAAGAAGCATCCTTGTTCTTGAGTTTACGGTCTTAACCCTTTAGATCTTCAAAATCTGCAAACTCAGTTCACGACCGTAAACCCAGATCACGGACGTAAACCGAGTTCTCGGCTGTAAACTCAATTCATGGCCGCAAACCCAGTTCACGGTCGTAAACCCCTTATACGGCTGTAAACAACTATTGCGTGAGGTAAAGCCTGTTTTCCTCGATTCAACTAAGTCCCGATAACATTCCTTAACCGAAACCAAGTGTTTATCCAATACTTAATCTAACGAAATCGCTAATTTAGATACGTATATGTATTTATTGATATTAGGATTCCGTTAAGTGCCACGTGCATCAACTTAAGGATCTTCCAATTCAATCCTTTGCAACCAACAACTGTGAGTTCATACCCCTACGCTTTTCTAAGTTTTATAACGTTTTCAAGGGGGGGGGGGGGATACAAGCCAAACATAAAGGTTTTCACAAGTTAAAAACTGATGCAGTTACAATGGTTTGACATCAACCTTTTAGATAACTTATCCCTTTTGTAATATACAAAGCATAAGGGATGCTTTCTAAACATAATTGCATAGTTTTTGGAACAATACATGAACATAACATACCAGTCAAACTATAATAGGTCTAGTTTGGGGAATTCTTTACTGGTTTTATAGATCCAAACACATAAACTATGGCAGATTTAGTTTATCCATATTACATTCAGATAACAAGAGTATCTTACTAAATAATTATTTTGCGTATAATTATTTATACTCTACTGTATACAAACGATTTCAAACACGAGAACAACAGAACAACACATAAACTAGTTAATATAGGATTGTGAGACCTTCTTCATATCACCTTTGGGGTACTGGTAAATCCTCTGCTTTTAGTATAACCAGAGTCTCCTGGAGGGAGAGCGTGAGATTTGTGAATAGATCTATTCAGGACCGACAATCCCACACCTGAACTGTTAGCTACAGTTTGGCAGGTATGCATGGGGTTAAAAATTTTGTAACATATGACGCCTGAAGAAACGTCATGGAGGTCATCAGTCATATTAGCATGGTTATACGAACTCACAATAGTATCAACAAACCTTTGTTTATTGGATTTTCCTTCTTCAATAGTTTTATTTTAATTAATAAGACTACCTACTTACTACACTGGAGGGTATCCCAGGGACACAACATTTGGTTTTATTTTAAGAAATAAAATTACTTTACATACTGGCGGTAGCCAGGGTTTTCGAACAAAACGTACTTTACATATTGGCGGTAGCCAGGGTTTTCAAATGAAACGTACTTTACTTACTGGTGATTGACCAGGGTTTTGATACAAACAATATTTTACTTATAATGAAAAGAAATCAGTTGTACAAATTCAGTGACTAGTTTTCAATACAAAACATGCTTATGAACTCACCAGCTTTATGCTGATACGTTTTCAAAACCGCTTGTATTCTCTTGCCAGCTTTTGGAGAAGATGAAGCATTTTGGATTCTCATCTTTATCTTTGGCTACTTTTGATGTATGTAAACTATGTTTTCAAACAGATGTAAATATTCATATTGTAATGTAATGGTTGTGTTTACTTTGATTGTTATGATACGATTGCTGTGATACTACGCATGACTTCACCCGCCCCGGACGTTTCCGACGTCTGTTCTGACGGTTCGGGGGTGTGACACATGAGGTGTGTAGAACGTGTAGGGGAACTCATGGATTTTCTTGCCACAAGTTCATGTGCTTCAGGTGTGGGGAAAGAGGGCATGTGCAATGGGATTGTAAGAAGGATCATATATTCTTTCACTATCACCAGTAAGGTCATTTCAAATCTAGTTGTCCTGCTTTGGAGGCGGAGAGAGCTCAGGTCCCAACGCCCATCGTTCCTCATGTGGTCAAGGTTGAGCCGTAAGAAATCTCTAGTATGTAATTCGACCCCACCAATTCTGTATTGATATTATGGCGAAATTTTTCTTGATCGGTGTTGTATCCGCCTTAGAATCTTGTTGGGTATTGATAAGTAGTACCTTCGGGTTAGTTCTCCATTTTGCCTGATTTATATATTGTGTATGTTCATATTTCATTTCACATGTCAAGAGTCATCGGTGGGTCGTATCTTGTTGGACGGGATTCAGTGGTTCATTGAATTGTTTTGGTTCCTTTGGTGGATCCAGTTCAGGCTTATGGATTGGAAGATCTATGGTCAAGTAGCAGGAATAGTTCATCATCGAAGTTGGAGTTATGGCATGATGGCATTTGTTCAGGTAGGACCGACAGTTGTCCATGATAGAACCTTTGGGTTCATGTAACATCCAAAAATATGGTCCCAAAAATTTCGTTTTAATATAAGATAAAAGGGTAACTTTCCATATTATCCAAATATTAGAAATAAACTAGTGTAACAATTTTCATAAATCATAGTATGACATCATAACAAAATCCAAATGGTGCGTGCAATGTAGTCATCCCGAGCTCTTCCTTCTGGAACTAGAAGTACCTGAAACATAAACTGAAAACTGAAAGCACGAAGCTTTGTGAGTTCCCCCTAAATACCACATACCGATTATACAATAAACAAATAGTGGGCCCCACCCGGCTTCAGACCCCATCGGGGATCGGGCCCCGCCAGGCATCGAGCTGAGCTCGGTAAAACGTACCCCATCCAACATAAAAATAACATATATTAAATAACACCTACACATGAAATAATCACATAACATACGAATATCCATCGGGCCCCGACCAACATTGGGGCTTAGCCTGGAAAGCATATAATCACATATACATGCTAAAGTCACAAAGACAGCTAGCATACTAACATAACATAATATAAGCATGGGCCGTAATTGGTGCCTTCGACCCATAGAACAGCAAGAAGACTCACCTCGAATGCTGAAAGATAACTAGATAAATCCCTGACCCCGGAAACAGCTCTACTCCATCCCTAAACAAAAACAATCCCTTAGATACCGACTCATACTTCAAAGTCCATAAAAGGTCAAGCTTGGCCAAAGTTAAAGTCAATATGATGGTTCACGGTCCAAATTATATAAAAGAATGGGTTTTATGGCCCATTAAAGCTAACTAGG